CACTCGGCCAGGGCACCAGGTGGCCGTGACCCCTCGGCACACCTCAACCCGCCCGCATCCCTCTTATTCCCCCCTTTCTGCTCCCTGCAGATACAGCAAGCACGGGCGGACACGGACACGTGTACACAGAAGCTCGCCTGCGTGTACTTGAACAAATGCAGACACAGGCGTGTCCTGTGTAGGTAGCAGCGTTGCCCAGGACAGGGCAGCAGCTCCAGGGGCTTCTGCCCCACCCTCCCCCCCCTGGGCTCCTCCAACCCTGGAATTCCCGCCAGCCCCACCGTGGGGCGCTGCTGCCCTCTACTGGCCTTCGGGCACGAGCGCCCGCAGAACAGCGGTGCAGCTCGGAGGAGCGGGTCCTGCCCCGGCCCCCGCTCTGATCTGTCTCCGAGGTTGGGCCCACCCGTGCTTCCCTGCCAGCCTGTCCATGCCCTGGCCTATCCCTTCCCACCCCAGGACTCCTCCCTCTGGCAGGGGATGGGGCGCTGGGCATCTTGTTAGCAAACTGTGCAATGGGGCCATCCGGGTCCTCGCCCACCCCAGCCAAACACCGCCTGCCCACCCGCCCTCAGGTCCCACTCACCCCCTTGGGGGCGCAGGGACTGCATGGCCAATCCCCCTCCCACTCTCCCGTCACCATCCTCGCCCATGGTGGTGGCCAGAGACGGGTCGGTCACACCATGTATGTGTCCTTGGGGCCAGCCCTGTCCCAGAGCCCCCACCTCACCCCAGGGCAGCCATTTTGGCTCCTTCTGGAACTGCAGGGCCCCCAGGGCCACGATAGAGGCTTGCCTCGAGGACCAAGGGCCCCGACAGGACGGCTCCCTTCAGGGTTCAGGGCGTGGCCTTGCCACCCAACATAAGGATGGCCCTGCACCAGTCCCCATGGGGAGCGGTGAGGGGCAGGGGCCTCGCCCTGTGGGCAGAGGGCTGAGCAGCCAAGCACAGGCAATGGCTCTGGGACGGGAGCAGGACGGCCACGCCCTGGGGAGGCTCCCACTCCTCTGAGGACAGCGTCCAGACTGCGTGCTCCCCCCACCCGACCAGGCACACGCAGGGAGAAGCAGTCTCAGACACTGGCAGGACTGAGACGGTGGCCCCAGAAGGCAAACGAGGCAAGTCCTCCACACGCCCCCCAGGGGTGCCACTGCAGGGGGTAGGGGCAGGGGACCTGCAGGCTCCAGCAGAGGACAGCGGGGACGCGGGGTGTGGGCCCGACCGCGGGTTCTGCCCAGAACTGCCAGCGGCCGTGCGGGCCCTCGGTCTGTGGAGCAGCACCCTGTGCACAGGGAGGGCAGCGCCCACAGCGGAGCACAGCAGTGCGGGCAGACCCTGAGCAGAGGCCCGAGAGAGGAGGAGGGAAGTACCAAAGTGAAACCCTGTGGGATAAATGCTGATCAGACGTAACCGCAGGGCAGGGTCAGCAAAGGGGGGGTGGGGTGGCAGGTGTGTAGTGGTTGTGGGGCTGGATCCCATGGCCGACCATGGTTCAAGCCCCAGACCCGACGGTTTGAAATCATGCTGGGTGGGACCAGCAGTTAGCGTAATGGCTATGTCGCTGGACTCCCATGTAGTCGACCGTGGTTCACATCCTGGACTCGGTGGCTTAAACTCACGCCGGGCACATGTGCGTATGTGCCCAAGATCGTGAGAGGAGAATGGAGGAGAAGGGATTGCAGCGTGGCCATACCCCGGGGGCTGATTTCTTGCTTTCTGTCTCTCTGTCTCTCTCTGTCTTTCTGGCAAGCGCACGCGCCCTATAGCAAAAACCTCTTAAAAAAAAATTAAAATCATGCTGGGCAAGTGTGCATGCTTGCCCAAAATCCCTAGAAGAGACTGGAGAAGGGTGTGGCCAGGCCTCCCCCCGGGGTGGTTTCTCTCGTTTGCTCTCTCTGTCTCTCCATCAGGTACACATGCCCTATGGCAACAACCTAATCTTTTTAAAAACATGTATCCACTCTGAAGCAAAATGGGAAAAAAATAAAACCCTGAAAAGAAGTAGCAAAGTTTTAACGGCCTCTGTAACAGTATTGACGGGTTTAACTCGCTAATTTTCCAAATTTGAAGAAAATTACAAATAAAGAAGCTCAAGAAACCGTTTACAGATATTCACATACACACACGCCACACACGTAATCACATCCAAGTGTGTTATTATCACATTTGTGGAGACATTATAGAAAGGGAGAAGAAAAGGTTAAAAAACACCCAGAGACTTGCATAGCAAAAGAAACAGTGAGTGGAGTGAAGAGACAGCCCTTGAATGGGACAGGAGATTTGCAAACTATGCCTCAGACAAGGGACTGACAGCCAGAATATACAGGGAACTCAAGTAGCTTACTCAAAGGAAAAAAAAAATCCAATTTAAGATGGGTAAATGAGCCAAAGAGAGAACTCTGTAAGGAAGACAGATGAACAGCAAAAAGCATACGAAAACATGCTCAACACCGCTTATCATAGGGAGATACGAATCCAAACCACAGTGAGATACCACCTGACTCCAGGTAGAATGGCTAAGATTAGAAAACAGACAAGGCATTCGAGCTGTGAGTGGTGCCTTCCAGGGCTGAGGTGACCGAAGACTTTCTGCTCAGACTTCACCCTCCAGACCCCAAGATCCACCAGACTGACAGGAGAGGGGGAGAACGGGGGCTGCAGAGAGCGTGGGTCACTGCCTTCTGCACGCCTCCGCATGCTCAGGTTTAACTTCAATCTGAAATGAGGAAATGTGTAATTCATCAGATGACCAGAAACCACCGCAGAGGCACAAGAAATATGAAAAAACAAGAAAATATCTCTTCCCTAAGGGAAAAGAACACCTTCTCATGCACAGATGGTACAGTGGAACTTGCAGACATGTTAGATAAAGAATTTAGAATATTTGAAGCGACACGGCTAAAAGAGATACGAGAGAAGAGAGACAATGAACTCCAGAAGACGCAAGAGAAAAGAGACAACGAGGTCCAGGAGGTGGGGAGGTTCTTGCATGATCTGAAAGAGGAAATGCACAGCATAAGAAAGAATCAAATGGAGCTGTTAGAAGTGAAGGCTGTAATATAGGAAATCAAAAGCTCCCTTGAAAGTATTAAAAGCAGATTAGATCATGAAGAAGGCCAAATCTCAGATGTAGAAGACAGAACCTCTGACCTAGAGAAATTCACCAAAAACCCTGAGGAAATAACCCAATAAAATGAAAATAATATACAAGAAATATAAGATACCATTAAATGTCCAAACATCTGGATAACTGGTATCCCAGAAGATGAAGAAACTAATAGGGGTACTGATCATCTATTCCATGAAATCCTGGAAGAGAACTTTCCAAACCTAGAGAAGCTTTCAAATATCCAGACCCAAAACATCCGAAGGACCCCACACAGAACCGATCCAAGAAGATCCTCCCCGAGGCACGTAGCCAGATTGACTCGATCCACAGACAGAGACAAGATACTAAGACTGGCATGAGGAACGTCAGGTTACTGGGAACCAGCAGTTAGCAGAATGGCTATGTCGCTGGACTCCCACGTAGTCGACCACGGTTCGTGTCCTGGACCCAGTGGTTTAAAACTCATGCCGGGTACGTGTGCATGCATGCCCAAGATCCCGAGAGGAGAATGGAGGAGAAGGGATTGCGGCGTGGCCATCCCCCCTGGGGGGTGATTTCTCTCTTTCTGTCTCTGTCTCTGTCTGTCTGGCGAGCGCAGCGCCCTATAGCGAAAAAACCTCTCCAAAAAAAAAAAAGAAAGGTCAGGTTACTTACAAAGGTTTATACCATCAGGCTAACAGCGGACCTCTCATCAGAAACAATGTGAGCAAAGAAGAATGGAAAACATATTCAAAGTGTCAAGTGATAAACAATTTCTTTTTTCCTTTTCTTTTGGAGAGGTTTTTGCTATAGGTGTGGAGCTTCGTCAAAAACCTACAAATATTGGGAACCAGCAGTTAGCGTAATGGCTATGTCGCTGGACTCCCATGTAGTCGACCGCGGTTCGTGTCCCGGACCCGGGGGCTTAAAACTCACGCAGGGCGCGTGTGCATGCATGCCCAAGATCCCGAGAGGAGAATGGAGGAGAAGGGATTGCGGCAT